TCAAGCCTATGTGTTACCGCTTCCACAGAGGGTTGTGTTAATGTAAGGCACGTCTGGCTCTCTGCAGAGCAGTGAATTAGACACATATTAATGGCTGATTTTACCACAATGGCCATCTTTAAACCACAACGATAAATTCAGTGTGCATGGAGGCTTAGTAAGCCATTCAACACCACTTTAACTATGATGAACGACAGACCTGCCAGATGTGTCAGATTAAAAGGCTCCAGCAAACTTGCCTGACTTTAAACCACGGCACAGCTTTCCAAACCAGCCTGTTTCCCAGCTCTACCTCCCAATCCTCCCTCACAGCTGTATTCCCACATCAACTCCTGGCCAGTACAACTGGCACAAATGCAACCAGCTAACGGCAACTACACCCCCCCCAACAGAGCACGGCAAAGTCATTCCAAAAGTCCCTGTGTGAATTGCAAAGACCAATTTTAAGTATTGGGATATACCAGAGAGCACCAGATGGAATAAGGTGAACAGTCAGTACTAGTAGGGACATCTCAGGCAAGCTACATAAAGCATAAAGCATATGGAGCATTTAAGGCTAAGTTAAACCAAAGTCCTGAAGGATTAGCTCTTGAGGAGAGCCCCATGTTGCCCAAGGTGTGAGTTTCATTGCTGAGCTTGCATGAGGTTGATTTCTGTTGTTCTCTAAGACTTGTCTGAATCTAGTTTAACCTGTAAATGTGAATTTTTTCCTGGCACATTAAATCCTCAGGAAAACTGCAGCTGTCATGAGACCTGCTGAGTACTTGTACCCATCCTGCAGCACCTCTTCAAAGATCCTATTTCAGCTGGGAGCTGTTGTCCAGGCTTTCATCACCTGAAGGTGAAGGCCACCCAAGACCCAGCAGCCCTCCCTCACAGGCCAATTGTTCCAAGGGCATGAGCCAAATATCTTTAGAGACCTCTCACTTGCTATTTGCAGTTTGGAACCTGGGTTATTTCAAGAACTGCCAGGCTAAATTTAGGGGCCCAGATAAGTATATCAGTCTCTGCCACCCAACACCAAGGGGACTGCGAACATGGAGAGTGGCCAAGACCCAAAAGAGACAAAGTACCAACAATCAAATATCGAGGCAGCAATTCCTGATTTGGTCATGCTGGGCAGGAAAACCCAATGATTTAGTGTTTAGAAATGACTTGAACATGACAGTGTTTCACCTACACTGGCAGTAAGTAGCAGCATCACGTCAACCCAAACCCAGCCACAGAAGCATCACGGAGACCTGAGAGTTGCATTTTCCAGGAGTGGCAGAGCCGTGACACCGATGGTGTTCGCAGGATGTCAGCACCGCCTGCGGGACACGTCCAGGAGCCGTGGCAGCACGTGGCCATGCCAAAACACACACATCTGTCATGGCTCAATACTATTATGTTGACATGCACATCAGCCTAATGCAAGTAAAACCAAGGGCAGCTTGTGATAATGGTGATATTCCTACCTGTAAAGGATCATAGGATGGTTTGTGTCAGAAGGGACCTTAAAGCTCATCCAGCCACGGGCAGGGACACCTCCCACTAAAGCAGGTTGCTTCAAGCCCCTGTGTCCAACCTGGCCTTGAACACTGCCAGGGATGGGGCAGCCACAGCTTCTCTGGGCACCCTGTGCCAGCGCCTCAGCACCCTCACAGGGAAGAGCTTCTGCCTAAGATCCAACCTAAATCTCCCCTGCTAAAGTTTGAACCCCTTCCCCCTTGTCCTGTCACTACAGTCCCTGATGAAGAGTCCCTCCACAGCACCCTTGTAGACCCCCTTCAGATAGAAGGCTGCTATGAGGTCTCCACACAGCAAAGGGATTAGAGCTGTGTTCATGGTAAAGGCATGCTGGGAGAGCTGGCTAAGCAAAATAATGTTTAATGTCTACATGCTAAAGGCAAACAGAGGAGGGGGAATCCTCTGCATTAACAAAGATTTGATAATGAGCTGAAAAAAACAAATATCACTCAAAAGAGAAAGAGAGAAGCAGCATCCCAACCCCTGCCAAGCGCTCTAAGTCCCCAAGCTGCGTGCAGAAGCCTGTTGGAGCCGCAGCCCTGCCCTGGAACGTGCTCCCTCCAGGCAGCACAGGGCTGTGGGCACAGCGGGGGCTCTCCCGCAGCTCCCTCCTGTGCTCTGCCAGCTTGTTGTCAGAACAAGTTTCCTTCATCTGTGTTTCCTCCAGGCAGCACTAAATGAAGAACCTCCCCTGTGAGAGCGGTTGGAGCAACGCCGAGCATCACCCCCTTGAGAAACACGCTTCAAACAGGCGAGCGATGCAGAAATGCCTTCCAGTGGGGGGGATGCATCCAGAATAATCTGGGTAAAGCAGTTTCAGAAGCAACAAGCATCTCCCCCTTGCTCCCAGTGCTCCCACTCACCGGGCCAGAGCCGGACATGCCACTGGGCTCCCTCTGCCAAGGCACAAAGGTTTGGCAGCAGCAGGGCCAGCACCAGCTGAGATGGGAAAACACTTCTCCGTAGTTGCCTCTTCCTGCCCTCCTCTCCCTCCCGTCGCTCCCCACCCCCAGGAGAAGGTTAAAAACAAGTTCTTACGTTGCAGAAAGCAAAACAAACCCAGAAAAAGCTGCGAGTGGGAGTGAGGAGCAGCAGCACCCTGGAAGGGCGACAGCGGCCAAGAGCAAACCCACGCGGCAGTCAAGTGTGGCCAGAGCCTGCAGCACGGCCCCCAGCCCCGATGGGGACCACGCCAGCACCCCCACGCTTCATTTCCACACAGGACACCCTAAATGGCACACACACGTCTTCTGCTATAAAAAGTTTATGTCCAAAACATCCAGTCCTTCATTATCAGCTACTTTGTCTTGCACAAAGACCAAACCCAAACCCACAAGTCTCATTAACCAACACACCAGCAAGGCAAGAGAAGCATTTGGCTCCGTAACCAGCAGACTGCCTCCAGGCCCACGTCTCCCTGTGCTGATGCAGAGCAAGGAGCATGATACCTTCCTCACATGCTTGCAGACAGTGCACAAAGGTTGTCAGTTATTGCTTTACTGCAGTATCCCAACTCCAGTAGTAAACAACAATATCTGAAAGGAGTCTCCCTCCCTGCTGGCAGCACAGACAAGATTGCAGCTGAGGTAAGTGCACTCTTCAAGTCAAGGAATGAAATGGTTGCCCCATGATCACAACCCAAATTCAAAGCGAAGGGAGTCAGAAAGAAGCAGAGTGACCATACTGGTCGTATTTGCCCAAGTTGGGATGAAGGCTTCTCAGCTGAGAATGAAGTTGAAAGGCAGAAAAGAAAATAATAGCTTGTAAAGTGGAAGCAAGGCCAGAGACCCCCACTGCCCTACCAAGTATGCTATTAATTTAACTCATCTTTCTTTTAAAGCTGCAATAGGGGAACAAAATGTCTTTACATAATTCCTCCTGGCTGGTTAAGTTAGGGGGGTCCAAGAGAGACAACCACAGTGCTGTGCCTACGTAAATCAGATCATGGTGCAGCCCCTGCACTGCAGATGAGGCTCTGGTCCCAGCAAACAAGCTTTCCCCTAACCCAGAAGACAGAGGCTCTCACAAGACAGCTCCAGGAACACATGAATCTCCCGCAGCATCCCCATTCCGTGCACATCACAGGTACTAGCAGTCTGGGATGAAGATCCCAGTGCCACACCAAAGCTGGAACATTGTGTGCACCTGTTACATAAGATTGATGGCATTGAATGAGCTGCTGCCAAGACTCTGGGAGCAAACGGATGTTACGTGGCGTTGCCTCAGAATATATTCACTTAAAAGTAAGAACAAAGCTCTTACAAAACTCAAAGCAGGAACCACAATAGCAAAGACCCTTATTCTCTGCAGAAAACAGCAGTCAGGGTTTCACTCCAAACCTCCCTTTTGGAGGCTCCTTAGAGCCTGGGTGGCTGCACCCCCGGTGATGGGCTCAGCCCAGCCCCTTCTCCCTCATCTGTCTCAGCAAAGTGTTTTGGAGCTGTTTGGGAATGGTACATGCTGCTGGGCCCCTGCTCCCCAGCATCGTGGTGTCAGGCAGCTGCTTCAGGGTGCAGAACAGCAATGCTGCTCCGGTGTTCAGTTCTGGTGTCTCCAACATAAGGACATGGAACTGTTGGAGCAAGTCCAGAGGAGGCCACAAGGATGCTCAGGGGCTGGAGCACCTCCCGTATGGGGACAGGCTGAGAACGTTGCGGCTGTTGAGGCAGGAGGAGAGAAGCGTGCGCAA